ATCTTATATCAAAAAAGCAAAATAGGTATTTAGCTGGCTTCTTAATAAATTATAACTTTAAATATAATCACTAGAATAAAACACTATTTAGAATTCTTTAGTAAACCACTCCTTTCCAAACTTTACTAAAAGTGTTTTAAATAGTTTTGGACAGTAAAAAGGCAATAAGATACTTTTCTTGGCTCTAGACAGCAAAATCCTCATAGAAGCCTAAACCTGTTGGAGCTGGAAAAGGTAGTTTAATTCAAATACATGTTACATTTGAAGTTCTCTGAGGATATCTACACAGATCTGTTCAGTAATAACTATGACTAAGCAATAAGTCTTACAAGGAAACACAAACAAAGCACATGTAAAATCTCAGAAATGAAAAGTTTAACTCTCTCTGAGGCCTCATGAAGGAGGGGACCCATGAATTAAATGTCAGAAAATGAACAAGAGTTAGCTGAGTGGAGTAGGGGACAGCATTCCAGGTGGAAGTAACAGTATGTTCGAAAGCATGACAGGGTGAGAGGTCAGGACTGCACAGTGCAATATTCAGTTTGGTTCAGAGAGGAGGGAAGAATTCAAACTTAAAAATACAGACACAGAATAAGTTAAATGACTAAGTTTAATATATTGACATAAAAAACAATCATTCAAAAGAGATTTCACCAACAAGATGGTCTTCCACATGGACCCCAAGTAAAGCATTAAAGCAAAATTTGAATGTACTTCAATTTACTATAGCATCTCTCAGAATTCTGAGAAAGGAATACAGGAAAAAAAGTAGAGTACCTTAAGATGTCTTGCAACTTCTGGATTAAATAGAGGTGTTTTGATGTAATGAGAAAAGAGTGTTGCAATTCTTTTTCTGAGTCCTTCAAGATTATGATGTTTGACTCCTCTCATCATAAGGTCCACCTCTCTGTCAATCAGTTCTAGAATTTCCTGAGTCAGTTTACATTCATGTTCCTATACAAAACAAACATATTCAGTATAGAATTTTTAAAGTCACTAATTTAATTTTCAAAATTACCACCAAACAAACTGAAAACTGTATTCCAAAAGAAAGAAATTCCAAAAGAAACTGGTAGGAGTGTACCAACAACTAATCTGGAAAAAAACTTAACATTATCTAGGAGAGCTTCAGATATGTGTAATCTACAATCCACCAATTCCACTCTTTAGAGTGCTTTAGAGAAATGTGCATATAGAATCATTGTTCACAAAAGTTCAAAATTAGAAACAACCAAATATCCACAAATAAATTGATGACATAAATAAGTGATGGCTTATTCATACAATACATATACTGATAGAATATCAAATGTATGGAAATGAGTAAACTACAGCTATATACAATAACAAGCTTAAATCTTACAAATTAATGTTGTTGAGCAAAAGCAGCAAGGCACAAGATAATACTGTATCATTCCATTTAAATAAAATCTAAAAATAAGCAACACTAAACCATATTATTTAAAGACATATATATATAGATATAAGCATATATCTATCTATATATATAGAGAGAGAGAGAGAGAGATACATACATACACATGAGTAGCAAAACTATAAAGAAAATCAAGGAAATGACTGCTATGAAAGTCAATATTCTAGGGGATGAGAGGGTGAACTGGGATTATAAAGAGAAAGGGGGATACTCGCAATGTTGGCAATGTCCTGTTCTGGGGTCAGAGAAGGTTACATGGTTGGTGACTTCATATTTGTTAAATTGTGTGTGTGTGTGTGTATGTGTATAAAATACATTTTTTCTGCAAATTTGTATAATTCACAATTTTTTAATAAAGTCACAGAAATGAGTGTGGTTGAATAAGAAAGCCCCAAGTAGAAGTTAAGTGATTAAGGTAGGATTTATGAGTAGTAAAATAGAAGTAAGTTGATCCAATTGCTCAAGAGAGGATTAAAAGAAACACAGTTTGAATGAAGGAGTCAGAACGTGAAGGCAGTGTGACTGTAAAATAATGTTCTCCTGTACTTTTTAATACATACTTGGTAAAGCTAACTCAAGAGTCTATATCAGGGGCCCTTGACCCTGAAGGCATATTAGAATGACCTGGGGGAGATTTTTAAAGGTTTTAAGATTGCCCTCATACTTGAGGATCTAATTTAACTTCTCTGAAATGGGGCCTAGATATCATCCCTTATTCATTTATTCTCATATTCTCTCTCTCTGTCTCTGTCTCTGTGAATCTTGCTCTCTCTTTCAAGCTCTCCAGATGATTCTAATGTGTACTCAGGTTTAAGAGTCCCTGGTCTCTCTTAGTAATTGTCATCAAAGTAATACCTATTATTCATTGAGGGCTCCCTATTTGTAAGCACTGAGATATATAGATATTTATTTATATTTTATAAATAGATATATATGTACATATATACACACATATTTATAACCTCCAAGCAACTAATTTTACAAATGATGAAACTGATTTTCAGAAATGTTAAATAACTTATCTAAGATTATACAGCCTAATGAATAGATCCAGAATTTGAGTCATGCTTAAAGGCCTTAATCCTCCATCAAAATATTGTTAAATAAATGTACATGTAGATATATTAGGTTAAACATATTGTTTAAGATATGCACAATTTATTTTTTAAGCCTATCCTTTGTTTTTGTTTTCTATTATTATTATTGTTATTAACCAGCTTATGTTCCTAAAAATGTCAGTTAGGAGGATTTCTACTGTATTCCTTACCTGCACTCTTTTTTCCAATCTGGCTTTTTTAATGCCCACCATGGATATCATGTTCATTTCCAACCTCTGGACCTCCTGCTTCTCTCTTTCTTCCTATCTCTATCTTCCAATGTTAGTCACTACACAAACATCTTTAAAAAGGTAATCCAGGGGCGCCTGGGTGGCTCAGTTGGTTAAGCGACTGCCTTCGGCTCAGGTCATGATCCTGGAGTCCCTGGATCGAGTCC